AAATGTTGGAGAGGATGTGGGGAAAGGGGAATACTCATCCACTGCTGGTGGAACTGCAAGCTTGTTCAGCCCCTATGAAAAGCAGTGTGGAGAACTCTTAAAAAACTACAAAGGAACCTGCCATTTGACCCAGTTATACCACTCCTTGGCATATACCCAAAGAACTCATCCTATTGCCAAGACACTTGTACATCCATGTCTGTTGTTGCTCTTTTCACAATAGCTAAGAGATGGAAGCAACCTAAGTGTCCCTCAGCTGATGAGTGGATGATGAAAATGTGGTTCATATATATAATGGAATTTTACTCAGCAGTAAAGAAAGATGAAATCATGAAACTTGCATGTAAATGGATGGAACTAGAAACTGTGATACTAAGTGAAGTAACACAGACTCAGAAAACAAGTGATGTATGTACACCCTCATTTGCAGATTGTAGCACCAGTCCTTTATATGTGAGATTGTAAATAATGGATGGAACTAGAAACTGTTATACTAAGTGAAGTAACACAGACTCAGAAAAAAAAAGGTGTATGTTCTACCTCATATGTGGATCCTAGCACCAAATCCTTTTAAGTGAATATGTATCCAGATATAACTACAGGAACCAGGATAATGAAGAGGAATCAGGGAAGTAAAGGAAAAGAAAGAACCTGAAAGAGAAGAACAGTAGAAAAAAGGTGTTAACAAGGGTGATATGTACAATAATGGGGTTATTTTAAGGGGAGGGAGAAGGGAAGATTATACAAGGAACCTTGGGGATAAAGGGAAAGAAGGAGTTCAAGAGAGGTGGGACCATAGGAGAAAGGTATTAATGAGAGAAATAGAAAAAACGGGGGCACCTTAAATGGGGAAACCATGGTGGAAGGGTTAGACAATGTGAGAGATAAATAATGCCTAGCTAGTTTTAGAAAACCAGAGGGAACCATATTAGGCCAACAACCTACTGACAAATTATACATACAACCAGATCAAAGAATGTAATATATGCCTAGGAAAGGTTTATCTGAAAGCGTTTGGTCTTTGCCCAAGCTCTGTCTACATGGCATATGGTAATTAAAAGTACCAGACTGGTGGAACTAACCTTCTTGGATGTTTAACAGCCATACTTTGAGGCCTATGCTAATAAAGGACAGTTTTTGCTCCTTGCCCTCCTAGGTAAATTAACTTCCAGGGGACTATGAGCATCTCTCAAAATGTCCTGTAACTGTGGTGAGTCACCTGTCCTCTTGATCAAGGAGGCCATGGAGACCCCACCAGATGGACCTGAACCAGTCTACAAAGAGGAGGGTCAACACAAAGGAAACATTTCCTCCATGCTTCCAAGCAAAGCCAGCCATGGTCTAGTAGGACCTTTGACTTATCTTCACATAGACAGAACTGGTAAAAGAAAGAAGCCAGGGGCTCCTCCCAAGCCCATGTTACCCCCGAGGAACAGATCCTCAAACGACCTTAAGAGTAATAATAAATTGTTTTATCTGTGCCAACTGTATGGTCTTAAACACCCAAAAGGAACGTATAACCAAAGATTAATGGGGTCAATATAATTTGTAAGAGTCCATATAGCTAAAGGCTACATAACAAGAAACAATGCCAGACAGGTGATACCTTCCTTTGAGTTACTGGCCAAGGTGGTGCAAGAGACTCCCAGACAGTAACCCAGAATAGGACTGGGAAAATGAACAGCAGACCCCAATCTTATCTAAAGGAATATTGACAACTGATTGCTGCTAAATGAGGAGGAACAACTGATCTTCCTAAAACAAAGCTTTCTAGATAGGCTGACTGGATTCAGCAGATGGACAAGTACTGGAGAATGGCTGGGGGTGTCGACAACACAGTGGACAGTAACAGGGATGACAGAGTATGTGGGCTCTAGTATGTGGGGGGGGGAGGCTATGGGATGGTGCCATTTGGGAAGTGGGTATAAAGATGAATAAGATTGTGTGGGATGTTCTGTATGATATACACACAGAAAAATGAACAAATTTTTCTAAAAAGACATATTTGAGGAGGAAGCATAAAAATTTACTTAAATAGTAGAGGTGATAAACATTACCAGTAAAATCTACCTGATGACTTTATATCCATACTCAGGTACTAAGGAGTTGAGTGTAACCGACTGTGACTAGTC